TTGAAAAGTATGTATTAGCAGCAAAACAAGCAGCTTATTTTCAGCATTAATAATAAAAAATGCACCGAATCAGCATATTAGGTTGATTGTTGGAGGATCATATGACAAGAGCACTTTTTGCGAAGAAACCAGATTGTCTTTTTTGGCTTAAAAATTACATGAAATTTCTTAAATAAATAAACAAATAACCACCTATATTGTTGCAGTTTCCTTGTTGACTGCAGTTAAGATTTTATGCAGTGGATCTGCATAAAATGGACTAATCAATCTACAAGCATAGAAAAAGTCAATAAAAAATATACAAATTAAATAAACAGTGTTTTTTTTTTTTGTACAGGAGTCTAATGCTGTGTTTACACTAGACACAGCATGCAAGAATCAATTGCGCTATTCACACGTAAATAGGCGTGTGAACATTTTGAGTTTACCCACTTCATTCGCATGTCAAATTCACTTCATTCGTGCATCAAATTCACTTCACAACAGACTTGGATTTGTGTCATGAGCAGGGCTTCTGTCTGCCTAATGACTCTAGGACATTGCTAAATGGAGTTAGTAGCTGTGATGTGATTTAAGTGCTTTAGGAAGACTTAAAAACAGCGTAGATTCGTTCTGCACCGTGTCTGAGTCCACTAGATCCTTTCAGAGGTGCACCCAGCTCTGTGAGTTCATTAACTGATGGAGGTTTTCAGCAGTGCTTTAGACTGTGCCGAGCACAGCTTAGTGAGCTGTTGTCTGGTGTCGGCAAGAGGATTTCCCCTTGGGACACCTACAACAGGCCCTATATCATAATCATGCTCCTACAAGAGCTAGTTCCCAATTAAATACCGCTGATGTTCAGCTTTTACAACTCGAGCGATTCATGTGTGTCAAACACACAAATCGCTCAACTTGCGCCACTTCATTCGCTCGAAAGGCACCACATGATGTCTATTCAGGTCTTGGATTAACATGTAAATCACTCAAGATTGGTACGCGTCTAGTATAAAAGAAGCATAACTGTATTCAGCCATACAGTAATTTATTAATCTAAAGTATACTGCATAGTCTTTGTTGTTTAAACAAATCAATAAAAATGTTATTAAAGTTAAAAACGGCACAATGTTGTACGCCTGAATGCTTTTAAAATCTTCATACAGTCGAAGGACTTAAACACCTTCAAAATGATCAAATATAATCTAATATAAATAATATAAAATAATGTAATATAATATAATATATTATAATTGTTGTGAATGGAAGTGATACAAACAACTGAAGTAAGATCCAAATGCAGGTTTAATCGGTGGTCAGGCAAGCAGTGGTCAACACAGGTGCAAACAGGGGTGAGAGGACAATCCAGAATCACAGTCGAATACAAGCAAGAAGTCAGAAAGGCAGGCGGCAGGCAAAGACAAAGAGGCTAACAAGGCTAACGGTCGGTACACAAGATAACAAGACTGGGAAAATGCGTTTTAGTGTTACTAGTAACAGATAACAAGACTCTGCAAACTGGAAGGGTGACTGAGTGGTTTAAGTACTGTATGGTGTGTTATCAGTCTTTGACAAGGTTCAGCTGGTGAGTGTAATCAAGCGAGATGAATGAGCAGGCGTGCGTGTTTGGAAGAAGTGCATGTATGAATATGTAGTCCTGGGAAATGCGGAAGTGTAGTCCTGGTATAGTGGAAACCAGCGATCTCCGGAGAACGATTGCTGGTTATCGTAACAATAATATAATATGATATAATATAATATAATATAATATAATATAATATAATATAATATAATATAATATAATATAATATAATATAATATAATATAATAAAAAATATAATATAATATAATATAATATAATATAATATAATATAATATAATATAATATAATATAATATAATATAGACTCAACATTGCAGATCATGCAGACTATTGCCAATGATCACATTGCAATATCGAGGCTGAAACGATATACTGTATTGTGCAACGCTAATAAAAATATCAGGCTCAGATATATTCATATCACAGTTTACATTGATCGACTCAATTATTGCTTATGAATTTAGCTGCATGTGCGTGACCTATATCAGATTCAATCTATCTTATTATTTGGCTTCATGGTATTAACATAGATAATTTAACCGTTCACTCCATAAGCTTTACAAAGGCTTCATTGAAACCAAATACAAAGTCTGTGTTTTCTTACAGGCATCTGAATGAACGTTATAACAAGACGTGACGTGATTAGGCATTGGTATATAGCTGCGAGCATGCAGGAGCACTTGGTCTTTGGCTCTGAGTGGGTCAGTCCTGATTGTAATGGAGAGGTGTGAGGCTGTGTGTTTGTTGTCAGGACGAGAGGAGGGGTCGATAACGCTGGAGAGGGGCCACAGAGAGACACTCAGGTTTGATTAAAGGGAAGTGGCCTCAGGTAGACCCCAGCCCCCCCTGCCGTATACAGGGAAGAGGAAACAGAAATATGTCACATTTACATTATTGTCTTTTTTCCTTATGCGACATGACCAGTGCCTTTAACTGCATTTGTCAGAGTTGATGAGTGGAAATTCCTGTACATAGAAGAAAAACATTCTGTTTGTAGTTGCTATGCTGTTGCTAGGGCGCTGTGGGTAGTATCAGCATTGCTGTATGGGGATTAAAATGGTCTGAAAGGATTTTAATGTGCTGATATGTGGTGGTCACTGGTGGAAGGAATGCAAAAAAATATATATTCAAGTAAAAGTACCAATAGTTACTAAAAAATGCAGTGTACATAGTTAAAAATATATGTTCTAAATATATTGAAAGTGTGAGTAAAATGTATCCATCTTCTTATTTTAACATTCCCTAAAGTGTTCAACATTGCTACAGTGCACATTAAACCATCTAAATGCTTTATAATGTGTTCTTGTGTATATTTTAGCGTATGTTTTTAGCTATGTGGTTGCTAGCATGTTGTTCAAATCACAATTTCTGATTATCAGCAATAATAATAGCGATTCCAATCTCCTTATCACCCACAAGAATAAACATGTTTACATTTCCTAAGATGCTTTCAACATTGCTACTGTGCAAAATAAAAAGAAAGAGCATGTTTTTAGCTATGTAGTTGCTAGCATCAAATCAAATGACTTTTATTGTCACATCATCAGCAGCATATGTGCTAAAATGAGTGAAAAGCTTAGGTGCTGGCTCCAGACAGTGCAAAATACAAACAGCCAAAAGCCAAATACAACGACAGTCCAAAATACAACAGCATACTCCCCCCCCAAAAAAAAGGACAATGTAAAATTGACAGCGATATGTACAATGAATAGGTGTCGGCAGTATTGTTTCAAGTATGCATTTGTTAAAGTGCAGTGCATGCTACATATTGATGGTGTTCAGTGAGGGGTATGGAAAAGTCTGTGTGGGGTGTGTTAAGTGTTCATCAGCCTGTTAGTCTGAGGGAAGAAGCTTTCCTTCAGTCGGCTAGTGCATGTCCGGATGCTGCGGAACCATCCGGTAGCACAGAGAAAAGTGTATGGCTTGGGTAAAGTCTATGGCATGTTGTTAAAATCGCTATAGCTAATAGCGATTCCATCTTCTTAATCACCAAAAATAAACATTTTAACCTTCTTAAAATGCTTTCAACATTGCTACAATGTGAAAAAAAAATTATGAATGCTTCATAATATGTGTGTGTAGTGTTGATGTTCAAATCACAAATTCTGATTATCAGCAATAACAATAATAGTGATTCCATCTTCTTATTTTAACATTCAGTAAAGTTCATTCAACATTGCTACAGTGCCAATTAAAAAATCTGAATGTTCATTATGTGTTTCTGTGTAGTTTTCAGAGGATGTTTTTAGCTCTGTGGTTGCTAGCATGTTGTTCAAATCACTAATTCTACTTATATACAGTAATAATAGTGATTCCATCTTCTTAATCACCCAAAAAATAAACATTTTAACATCCCTAAAAAGTTTTCAACATTGTTAGTGTTAAAAAAATAATAAATCTGAAACTTTTATAATGCGTTTCTGTGTAGTTTTTAGTGCATGTTTTAGCTATTCGGTTACTAGCATGTTGTATAAATCACTAATTCTGATAATCAGCAATAATAATAGCGATTCCATCTTCTTGTTTTAACATTTTAACGTTCCCTAAAGTGCTTTGAACATGTTAGAGTGTGAATAAAAAATCTGAACATTTTCTAATGTATTTCTGTGTGTTTTTTTTTTTTTTTGATAGTATGTTTTTAGCTTTGTGGTTGCTAACATGTCTTTCAAATCACTAATTCTGAATATCAGCAATAATAATAGTGATACCATCTTCTTGTTTTAACATTTTAACATTCCCTAAAGTGCTTTGAACATGTTAGAGTGTGAATAAAAAAAATCTGAACATTTTCTGAACAAGTATTTCTGTGTGTTTTTTTTTTTTGATAGTATGTTTTTAGCTTTCTGGTTGCTAACATGTTTTTCAAATCACTAATTCTGAATATCAGCAATAATAATAGTGATTCCATCTTCTTATTTTAACATTTTAACATTCCCTAAAGTGCTTTCCCAATGTCACATACACTACTGAGCAGGAAGCCGGCGTTGTCTAAATGGTTGCACATGTGTTTTTGTAGAAGAACTGCATATTTTTTTTGAAAGCGATTGAGTTTGAAGGTCAGCTGTCTGCATCTCTCCAGTGTGAAACGGTGCTGCGGCACGCTACTTTAGGAATGACAAGCATCTGCTAACACACTCTTGATTCTTTAAAGACAGCCCGTTGGCATGCTTTTTGATTCGTCCTCACAACTCCCTTAATTGTTCAGCTGTGAAACTTAAAGCGCGCTATTTTCCCAGAGCGCTGGAAACGTCCTTGCCGAGAATCACATTTGTTCAAGTACAAGAATGTGAGTGGGAGTGCGGAGACTCTTTCACTCTCTCTCTCTCTCTCACACACACAAGCTAAAGATGTAGTGTATCGCGAGTTATGCATAACATAAAAACTACCTTAACATGCCTTGACTGTCTCTATCTCCATCTTTTCAGAGTATCCTGGCCTTGAACCCTCGGGTCCAGACTCACGCTGCACTCCTCTCTACTAGAACGAAGAAAATGGAGAAAAAACAGTGGAAAAGAAATGCAGAGAAAGGTTGTGAGGTGCGTATTCTCTGTCACCCTCAGCCCTCATCCTTTCACCTATAACCTCAATAGGGCGCTTACTGACCAATCAGCTGGAGAAAAGAGGAACTTAGTGTTGTTTCCAGATTTAGATAGGCTGTTTGCTGGCACTGGACCCATCTGTTTAGCTTTCTACAGAAGCCGCTTTTTAACCTTTCGTTTGGCCTTGTTGAGGAACCGGCAGCTGCGTTCAGCACCGCGAGCACAAAAACTCAAGTTTAATTTACCAAAACGAATGATCTTAAACTGACAAACTACGAAAGACGTCATATTGTGAAAACACGTCCATTTTAAATTGATTTCATTTACATTTAGCTTGTGTTTTGATTTACTTTTATCAAGACAATTAAAGATGAGACGTCTAATTTTGGTGTCTGCATCATAATAAAATTACTAATGTGATTTTAATATTGGTGACACAGTGGCTCAGTGATTAGCACTGTCGCCTCACAGCAAGAAGGTTACTGGTTTGAGTCCCAGCTGGGTCAGTTGGCATTTCTGTGTGGAGTTTGCATGTTCTCCCTGTGTTTGTGGGGGTTTCCTCTGTGTGTTACGGTTTCCCACTTTCACTAAATACACTATTTTGAAAACATGATGTCAAAATATAAACCAAATAATGTCTAAATATGTGCTAAAAATAAATAAGAAAATAAGTGGTTGTACTAAATTGCTAAATTTAATGTTTTTTTATATTATTTAATAAAAATATACAAAAAATTATAATAAAGATTTAAAATGTTAATGATGTATGCACATGTATATATGTAAAGTACAAATGCAGATGTTTGAGTGAACTATATGTACAGGTATAGATTATTCATGGAGGAATATGATTAAGTATGTACAGTTGTGTATGTACATGTGCATATATGTATTTTATTTTAGATATTTTTATTTATAATTAGTTGCTGGCATGGGGTGGATTTGGGTTTGTTCTTTAAAATGTAAAAAACAAACAAAAAAAAAATATATATATATATTTAAAGATTCAGGTTAATTGGGTGAGCTCAATTGTCCTCAGTGTATAAGTGTGTGTGTGGATGTTTCCCAGAGATGGGTTGCAGCTGGAAGGACATCCGCTGCGTAAAAATGTGCTGGATAAGTTGGCGGTTCATTCCGCTGTGGTGACCCCGGATTAATAAAGGGACTAAGCTGACAAGAAAATGAATAAATAATTGAATATATATATATATATATATATATATATATATATATAACATTTCTATTCATAAATGTAAGTAATAAAAATATAATGTTTTATGTTATCTCCACATACCCTCCAATCTTTTTGGCGGTCTGAGTTTCTAGTATTCATTCATTCAACCACTGTGAACGCACGGAGAATAATGGCTCTTGCTTTTGCACTCCTTTATTTCAGACACTGTGAGAACAGCTTCTCTCCCATGGTGCACGTCAGAACTAAAAATACTGTGCGACTGCCACAAGGGGGCATATTCCGACAGTCGTGTCCAAATGTCGTGTGCAGTGGAAAGGCGGCTTAACAGAAAATCTTGGCGGCTTTAAAACCTTGACTTTTCCAAACCATGATAAACCTTAAAACCGGTTATCGTTGCATGCCTAATCTGCAGTTATAAACTGCTTAGCATCTGCTAATGTAGAGTTAATTCTTAACAGAGAATAAAATAACTATTTGCTAATGCTTAAGAAATTATTCATAGTGTGTTGTTACAATAAAGTGAATGTTTTTATTTTGCTTCATAATTAGATTTGCCTGTATATGATTCTGCACTCTCAAATTACCAATAGCCTTTGCTTTTTATGAATCACAGAGGACTACAAAAGGATAAAATAAACAGCAAAATGTTCATTTTTATATTAACTGTCCCGTTAATTATGAGCACTCAATAATGCACAGTACTGAATGCCTGCGGTCAAGTGTAGAGTATGTATTTTATTAATCTTTAATCTATATGCATGCATCCAAAAATAGAAACGGTCAAATTAACACAAGAATTAACTATGCTCACGAACTCTATTGACGACGAGTGAGCAGGTATTTCATCATAACTCAAGAACGTGTTGGTGAGCTACACTCACTAACACACACATGCACGCTCACACACGCGCGCTCAGACAGTCACTCAAACGTAATTATCTTACGATTCCAGGCACATGCCATCAAAGTCTCACAAATATCTCCCCAGACCAGCGTGCGACGGGAAGGGTTTGTGTTTTTTGGCAGGTGGCCGCTATGCCTCGTCTGTCCTTTTAAAGGCAACTGAGCCTCCTGCTTGTTTGATGTGGAGACACAACAAGATGGAGGTGTTTTGTAGGAGAGATTATCTACTCCCCGCTGACAGCACTGTTGCTAAGTACAGCTGCCTAATTCATCATTCTAATCAATGGGGATGGATCGCAGGCCTGATTTAATTCATAAAGGCTTTGCGCTATAGGTTGAACATATGGCATGTGACTTTTACTGTTTCAGGAGGAAACATGTTTATATTTTGCTGTGCTAATTTGCCTTGCGTGAATATATGTGGTACATTTTTCAAAATACATCAGCAGTGATAACATATGCAACATGCCAAGGGAGGAATTTTCTATTTTTCTTCTGTGTGAATGTCTAATAGACATCTAAACGTAGACATTTAGGCTAAAACAAGGCTAAATTTGGGCTGTCAGTGAAAATCAAATAGTCTGACAGCCTGAATTTAGCCTTGTTTTAGATAAGATGTCTATGTTTAGACGTCTATTAGATGTATTTTAAATACAAAATACATATTTATTTGCAATCAGTTTAATTCAATTTAAAGGGAAAGTTCACCCATTATTTGCTCACCCTCGAGACATTCTTGGTTTATAGGACTTTCTTCTTTCAGACGAACACAGTCAGATTAGTTTTAAATTTTATCCTGGCTCTTTCATGCTGCATAATGGTGTTGGATAGTAGATTTTATTTTGAAGACTGTAAAACGCATGTAAAACGCATGTAAAACGCATTTAAATCCATTGTCAAACTCCATTGTCAAACCATACAGAGAGAGAGTTGCGACAACCGAAGTCCAAAATGTTTCATCATAATGTAATTTATTAAGACTCAATTATTTCCAGTAAGTGGTTTGTGGTTAATCAAAATATTGTTAGATAGCTCTAAAACATACATTTATTATTATTATTTTTTGACTATGTACCTTTTAAAAGTGCAAAACTAATCGTCTTCAGCTGTAACTCATAAGTGCTAGGTTTCGAGAACTATTTAAAGGCTCCATGCAGTGTTGGGGGTAATGCATTAGAAGAAGCGCAAGTTCATTTTATTCATTTATTTAATTTTCGACTTAGTCCCTCTATTAATCTGGGGATGCCACAGCAGAATGAACCACTAACTTATCCAGCATATGTTTTACGCAGCAGATGCACTTCCAGCTGCAACCCATACAATCTCATACACACATACGCTACAGACAATTTAGCCTACCCATTTCACCTGCACCGCAAGTCTTTGGACTTGGGGGAAACCGGAGCATCCGGAGGAAACCTACTCGAGCACAGGGAGAACATGCAAACTCCACACAGAAATGGCAACTGGCTTAGCTGAGGCTCGAACCAGTGACTTTCTTGCTGTGAGGCAAGAGCGCTACACACTGCGCCACTGCGTCGCCCAAGTAATGCAAGATACCTCACAATATTACTTTTAACGAGTAATATATTGCATTACTTAGAAAATTAAGTAATACTATTTGAGTTACTTTTTAAAAAATGTAAAGTGAGTTACTTTTTAGTTTTATTATTCCTCTTTTAAAAAATAAATTGCTAAATTAAAACTAACTTTGAACCCCTCACTCATTCATTAATTTTCTTGTCGGCTGAGTCTCTTTATTAATCTGGGGTCGTCACAGCGGAATGAACCGCCAACTTATCCAGCAAGTATTTTACGCAACGGATTCCCTTCCAGCCGCAACCCATCTCTGGGCAAACATCCAGACACACATTCACGCTCATACACTACGGACAATTTAGCCTACCCAATTCACCTGTACCGCATGTCTTTGGACTGTGGGGGAAACCGGAGCACCCTGAGGAAACCCACGCGAATGCAGGGAGAACATGCTAACTCCACACATAAACACCTACTGAGCCGAGGCTTGAACCAGCGACCCAGCAACCTTCTTGCTGTGAGGTGACAGCACTACCTATTGTGCCACTGCTTCGCTCATCCCTCATTTAATGAGAGAATTTTCTCTCTGCAGAATCAAGCAGAAACCAAGATGGCAGAGCCTTCTATTTCTGTGCTGGAAGTATTCTTAATATTCTTAGTTAATAGTTGAAAAAACGTTCCATTTGAGTTCCAAGGAAGGAAGGAAGGAAGGAAGGAAGGAAGGAAGGAAGAAAGGAAGAAAGGAAGAAAGGAAGAAAGGAAGAAAGGAAGAAAGAAAGAAAGAAAGAAAGAAAGAAAGAAAGAAAGAAAGAAAGAAAGAAAGAAAGAGAACAACATCAATTTGGCCGCCAATTTTTTTTAAAATTCACTTTCAATTTGTTTGACTCAGGAGCACATATTCTCATGATAAAAAAGGGAACATCAAGCTCTATATTGTTCTTCGTGTACTGTATACATCACAAGGTGCTGCAAGTCAACATTAATGCTTCTGCATGCTTTTCGTCCGCCTGTTTTCTCATGCTATGCATTTCTCACTGCCAGTTCCCCAATAAATGGCAGAACGCTGAGTCTATGAAGCTGCTCGTGATCTTCCCTATATGGATCATCCACCACAGATTTATTCTCTCCGTAAAAGAAAAAGCAATGAATGTTTTAGTGATCCTTAAAATAACTTTTGTAGGGCTCCCAGAAAACGGCATCATAATAGTCCTGCGGAAATGATGCCAAAGGGGCTGTAAACTCAGCGTTTACAGGGAATCCATGAGTGCTGGCTGTCTATACTTTTCAAATGAAAATGCGGTGGCATGTAGTCAGCTGTTATCTTGGTCCGTCAGGTCTCAGGTGCCCGCACATTCTCTCC